CCCAAAAGATCGTATAGACCTGACTGCAAGATTCCAGGCGGAAAAACGTTAATCGAATAACTTGTCCAGTTGTACCAGCCAAGATGCAGGAGATTCTGCTGATCGGTCAACCATCTTTCTATTGGACTGAGATAGCTGCCTCCACAAAAACTCATCTGACCCAAAGTGCCATCGTCAGGCAGAAAGGCACATCCACACTCACGCCATTTGAGCACTTCTAATAAGGTTCAGCATACGTGCTCATTATATCCTCTCTGACCAGCACTGGTACACGATTTCCACCGATGTGCTTGCGTGTTCGTTGATGACGTCAGTACAGTTCAGTCAATGTCTGTATTTCCTTTTACTGCGTGTGTGTTTGGTTGATTCAGCGATCACTTACCTTCTCGTTTTGTCATACTCAGAATAGCCTCCTCGACCTAGTCCTTATCCATGGCCGAAGCTTGAGCAGTATTCAGCCGTAGTGAGACAATTTGTATACGCGTTGTCTTGGTTTTATCTGACTGGCTTCCTCAGTTCCCTACGAGCGTCATATGTGTATCAAGCTCGAGGGGAGAGCATGTGAACTTTAAACCCGTGGATTATTACATGAGAGAAGCCAGTCAATGATCTTTTCGTGTGATAGGGTCAAATCACACCTGTTGTTTTTTAAGGTGTCATCCCTGGTCTGGATATTTCATACGAATTGACTGCTATAAAACCGAGGGATCATTATTCAACGCACAAAACTGACTTAACATGCTATTAGTTCTCCAAGGAACACCAACCAAAGAGGTAATGTGAGCTAATTGGGAAAACTCATTCTAGTCTGTTCTGGAGCAGTCGTTGGCACAGACTTTTATCACGGTAATATGTCGCCATAGTTAGCATGGGGACGAGATGGCTTATGGTTAGAGTGCGAGAGGTCCTTAGTTCGAATCCGACCTCTGCATCTCAACTTCTTCTGTTTAGGCTTTGGTAACCTGGCATCGTTCCAGCTCTCCTACTTACATCGGGTGTCACGAAAGCCACGCACTCAAAGGGTGAACGATATTTGGCATGTGGAAATACTACCTTAAAACACTTTTCGTCCAGTTTTCCGTCACGTTTTCTGTTGTTACGTCAGTGTGCGGAAATTCCCTCATGCTTTTGGAACCAGAAGATCTTACTACTATAAGGCCTGTCCTCTAAGTAGTATGGTTCCCTCAGTGGAATGTACCTGGAGGATTTTTACTTCAGGTTTTGGTTTGCGTTTGAAAAGTACCCACTTACTGGTTTCTATCATTTTAGCCTTGATCTCGGGGTACCGTGTCCATATACAGTGTGAGTTATCATTCTGCACAATGGTTCAGTCGACTTTCGGAAAATTATCGAACTGTCGTCCCCAAGGAACGAAATATTATGTCCGTCTTTCGAAATCACTAGTGCAATGTTTGGCTCAACTTCGAAAGAGTTGTGTGGAGTTATTGTACGATAACTGTCTATAGATATTGTCACGTAGAAGTAAGGTAACTCCACCACAGGTCCACAGACCTAATGAAATCCGGAACTCTCGTTGCAAGCGATGGCACCAACCTCGACTCCAATCGGATAACAATCTTGGCAACACGCCTCAGTTTTTCTTCACTAGACTGCCGAACATCAGCTGCTTGAGTTGCTCTCTAGAGCAAGGTTGCGGCAAAAAAATCTATAATGGCAATCCGTACGTTCGCTTCCCTGGTTGGGTGTGTGGCGTTTGAGCTATATTTATTCTTGTTTTAATTAGATTATGTAACTGAGTTCTGTTGAACTTGGTTGCTCATCCCTGAAGAAAACGATATAACACTTGACCTATTTCCCCGTTAGGGAAATCGGTTCGTCTATACAAATTTGCCATGGCAAGACCGGCAGTCCATCCTGAAACTATTCGATTTCCACCAACCATGTTTGTATAGGGGGTAAGCGCTACATACGGACATTATCAAAAAACATTTTCTCTTCGAACTGTTTATAGTCTACACTCTGGGACTGGACATTGGCATTTCGAAAACGCAAAAACAAAGGAGATTTTGAGCGCCTCATTCTGTTGTATCTGCTGATTCGCCGACCCGTAGTATCTGTTGCTGACCCGTTCCAGTGCCTAATTGCTGGAAAAGACACAGAAATGAACACAACAGTTGTATTCCGAACAAGCGAGTGCTTGAGCAGAAGCAAACGTAATAACGGCCCCACGCTCTTTAAAGGGGACTTTTCGACATTGATCCAGGCTGTCTGATAGGCGTTAGTGAACACCAATCAACATCGATCGTGCCTCTATGAAATGCCTGAACGCTAATCACATTCGGTCGTGCTTCTGTGGCATGTAAGAAAACTCATCAGGTTTTGCTGAATTGATTGAACGATTTACTGGCCTGGATGCTTACCGGCTTTCCTGTTGAGAGTTTGGTAGAGCAGCAGGTTTCGGGCGCTCTGAGATTACTTTCAGGAATCTGACGTTCCTGATACATCCTTTCCGGAGTCTGTCGCAATATTTGCTTTAAAATCAGTCGTTTTTATTCCAGAATGTTGAAACACTTGTATAACCTTTGGTAATGGCTTGTATTGTATATATCCACCTGGTTCGTGGCAAAACACAGGATATGGTTAACTAGCAAGGGCATTGGAAAAGACCGTTCCTGTCGCAGGTGAAGTGTGGCTTGCAACCGCGTTCGTCAGGTTTTCTGAATGCAGTAGACATTTGGGTTCAAGGCCAGTCGAAATGTCATCTTGAACGGATTCTTTTTAAGCTTCAACTACTCAGATACATCAATAATAACTCTGGCTAGAGATGATGCGCGGTCAACTTTGGAGGTCAACATTTTGCACGTCCATTTAAGTTCCAGTGCTCACCACAGATACTCGTTGTTCCTTTGCGAGGCAATTGGCGATTTACGAAGTCGATTTTATAAGTGTTTCCCATTTTTGTGTCAAAAAGTGAATCGTCCCAGTGTAAGACGTTGACCTTCATAACTATCCATATCATGGCCGAATTCCGACTATTAAGAACATTGGTACCGAATTGAGATTCGCCTCCTCCCTTGGGTAATCGTTTAGGCATTGCAACAGCATCGTTTCTGGTGAGGACGCCATCTCCCAGTGACCAGTGAAATTGTTGGGATGACAACGTTGCAAAAATCGGACCAAAGGCGGCGATGGTACCCGAGACTCGTTCCCTGTAGTGCCCGTTTTTTTGCCCATCGTCATCGTAGCCATGGAAATTATGTGTGGACTCGCAGCCTTACAAACCAAACTTTCGCCTTACCAGTGCTACTTTTACTCAAAAAAAAATGAAAATAGGTTTCTTAATGTGTTCTATGGTAGAGGCTGTGCTGCTCGCGACAACATATTAACTGGCTAGATTCAACGGTTTGAAAAAAAGTTTGCTAAACCCTGCAAACGTTGCCGTGAGCTGTCCAAAAGTCAACATTAATTCTTACTTGTCAGCCGTTTTCAACCATATAATTGTTCATCTGTTGCCTTTTCAGTACGACACTTCCCACTTCCTCAACCTGTTCTGATACATCAACCACAACGAACGGTATATACGATCACAGGAAATCACTGGAAATCACTGTCTGGATAGCTGAAATCGTAGTCAAAACGCGACATTGTCTGCGCTATCCAAGGCTGAATGGTGCCGGGTTTATGGTCAGCTGAGAATAATATCGGTAACGACAGTTTCATCATGCGTAACGCCACACTACAACAACTCACGGAAAGACGGGCATTTCTGTATCAATGTTCCACTAAAAGCACGTGTTTGATGGCCCATTCGAGGCGACGGTGGTGATCAGCTGGTACTGAACTTTTGTCAATCAGCGCTTGAATTTGGACTCACTGTCCGCAAGCCTTAGATTGTCGCATAATGGCACTGAGGTGCCTATGTTGACAGAACGACAAGTGACAGGATCTACTATCACTCAAACAAACGAAAGTTGTGGTAACTCAAGCGGATGAACAAAAAACACGTTGAATTGTAAGTACCCATTCACACTAAATTATGCATGATGTGTTTACAGATACTACTCAGCCAACTGCTAATAGTTTGAGCGACGTGTTGGGATGCTGTAGTGGAGTAGAAGAAAGGTGGCAGTGAAATTTCGGTCCAAAAATATTCTGTCACTTCCATCTTTTTAGTGACAGAACAATGAAAATGGCCTGGGGTCAGCTGTGGGTAAAGAGCCACATCAAAAGAGGCTGTTCTCTTCCTCTTCTCCAATAAGGGGAAGAAGACGTCTCATCTTGTAGTCCGTGCTAGTATGCTGGAGCATGATACACATAACTCCAGCCGGCTCAATTCAATCGAATCTCAGATATTTTCACATAACAGGGCAAGAGATGTCAGGACTGTATTTCACGGAATGTAATAAAATAAAAATGCACGCAGAAAGTTAAAACATTCAATTGCAAATTTCACTGTGAGATAACCTACCGTTATTCGTTTATTCACTACATGTAGGTGAGTAGCTGCGCTGTAACGTTTTTATGAAAAGACACCTTACGTGGCTGAACTTCCGTTTCATGACTCGCACCTAGATAAATAACAAATTGCAACCTAACTTAATGTCATAGAGAACAGGTTATCGAAGATAAAAACTTTCGACAAAAAACAGCGAAAGCGAACATATAGGTCTCGTTCATTGCTATGCCCGCAATCCAGTTGTGCTGAGGCCAAACATATCAATCCTCCATCACTGTATTAAAATGCTCTTATTTAATCCTTTGGCGCAGACCAGAAAAAATGCTATTTTATACCTCTCCATCCGCTTATTCAGAGCGGATTTAGCCAGTAATACTCCTGTTTTGTACTACGGAGAAGCTTTCATTATAGCTGAGAAGGCCGGTCCTGTTGTTTATGATGCTACCAGAAATACGAATTACTGACGTTTTTTTCCTTCCTGAATAATTTCCCCCCGAAATATTGTGTAAACGTAATACACTACTCATAAGGCTGCTGAATATTGTTCAAACGCCAAAGATCAGCTTCGCCCTTCTTGTGGTTTATGAAGTGGGCACAGTCCCAGAGTTTCCCTCAACCTTATGTTTTGCTTGAACCCAAATTGCACGAAAATAGCGAAATACACTCATACATATTAGTGTATTTCGCTAATTCTCCCGAATTACTCAAAAGGCAGTCGAGTTTGAACGTTATCAACGTGTTTATCACGAGATGTCAGGGAAGTCCCATTTTAAAACTTTATGTAATTTGGGTGAATTTGTGGGGTGAAATGAGATTTCACGGCTTTTTCTGCCTTAAAGGTCGGTGGCAGATACGACCATAAGACTCGCAGTTTGAACTCTCTAGCCTTGTAAATTTGGTCTAATCAAATATTACTTGTCACTCATCGTTTTTCACGAACTGGTCTTTGCTAAATGACCTGTTTTCACGGCTTTTTCTGCCTTAAAGGTCGGCGGCAGATACGACCATTAGACTCGCGGTTTGAAATCTCTAGTCTTGTAAATTTGGTCTAAACAAATATTACTTGGCACTTATCGTTTTCATGAACTAGTCTTTGCCAACTCACATATAACTTGAGTTTCGCATGGATAACATAAATACATACAGGAATATGTGCGTAATTGAACCTGGATTAGTCTAACTGTCTAGAGCGAAATGACCCCAGGCACACTGCTTAAAATGCAAAAGTCAGATGTCATTGGTCATTGGTTGTTCATTGAATGAAACTCACTGAATAAAGCACGACCGTGAAGACAGCCGTGGCTTTGCAAGTCGCTTTCATAAACGCTCAGTCCGGTTCCAAAGCATTGGCCGACTTAATTTCCTTTGCACTTGAGCGTTCTAAAGTTGATTTCTTTCAAAAAGGCGTGTCAGTGTTAGACAATGATTTCGATTGATTGGAATATTCACTAAATTCATTACCAGGAATCTTCCAAAAACAAAAATGCTTGCTGCTAACACTATTGATAAAGCAAGCAAAGTTAGCCTGATATTGTACTTAGATGATAGAAGATACTCGGAAAATGTGACCAGATGCAACAAATTGGCGAGGAAATATGATTTTCTGCCACTGGTCATCCCGGACGATACGTAATAGCTATATATTATGCTAGACTGAAACCACGTGCCTGACTAGGTACATTCGCGGATAATTGCATCAACGGGAAAGGAAGGGGGTTCAGTGTCGCTCGTGAGTGGCATTATTTGAGCACAAGCCGTTTCTTGGCAACAGCTGTGCAAAATATACACTCTATAAATTTTATTTGGAGCAGTGTACATTTATAGTCTTCTCAGTCAGACACCTGATTAGATTTTTCGTTGTCTCGGAAGGAGATTTAATTTCTGTGACACATTTACCATCCGGTTCTGTTGAATTTTGACGAAAACGTTTATTGGCTTCTCGAGAAATACACTTATTTGCAAATCAGTTTGGTTTTCACGAGAGACTCACTGAATGTGCCTGCACACAGGCCGCCTCAAGATTCAGTTGGCACGATATTCGAGATATCGCAGTAAATTTTCATAAAGAAAACTATTCACAAGGTTACTGAAAACTCTTCGACAGCCCACGACTGGTTTAGTCCCTCTTGGGGCTCATCAGGTAGGCGAAGTCCCCGAGTTTCCGTCAACCTTATGATCCACTTGAACCCAAATCGCACTGTTTTCGATAAATACACTCATTTGAAAATCAATTTGGTTTTCACGAGAAACTCAACTGAAAATGGGTTTTCAGCAACCTTGTGAGGAGTTTCATTTATGAAAACTTATTGGCTTCTTTTTATGTCACTTCAAGAGAGGAACTTATATCAAAGTGGACTAAGCAGCGCGCAGTCAAGGCGCTGTTGACCAGCGCATCTTGTTTACCCTGTGAATTGCCTGATGAGTGTCCCTAGTTGAGGATTTTTGAGTCTATCCACGAAGAGATCTATCAGGAATTGGCCGACGAAAAGTTCCTTACACCTTACCCCTTTCGTCGTCACTAAAAGAGAGCAAAAGATGACTGCGTCGATAACCACTGCGAATAGTCTTGTCAGCATGTTATCAGTGAATGGTACGCAATGGCATCATGTCAAGCAGGAACACATGATGGCTTTTACGTTTTCGATGTTCATACTATCTTTCAAATTATACTTTTAGGTCCTTTCACGTTTTTTTCTAGCGTTCTTGTGAGCCACCGTTCCAAAACATCATATGGAGAACTAAAAACATGTCCTGGATGGTCTGAGAGGTACAGAGGGCTTCAAGTTAACGCATCGATGCAACAGTAGGTTGCATATCCTCGAGGGATATTTGGATATTTGGCAAGCTTTTTGGAGCGGATCTTCCGGTGGAATACCACTCAGGATGTATGAGCTAAACCACTGTTTGTAGAAAAGCTACGATGGGACAATTCCTGGGTATAAAGCTGTTGCCCATGTGGTTTACAGGCTGATTCCATTTGACTGATAATGTAAGTATCAGTAGACCGGCCTGCTAATTGAGAAATTCAGTGACCAAATTGATGCGGCGAAGCTGACCAAGACGTGTTAGAAAGTTTCTCATGGCATTCAAATGAATTTCCCTCCCTAAAAACGTGGCCTTTGACTTTTTTGTGCCAAGATTCATGCTACCCCGTAGGCTATTAAAAAGGTTAAATTAAGCGCACAAGACCCCCCGGGTGTACAGCATACCAATCGCGAAACTGGTACTTGCGCATGAATCCCTATTTTAACAGCTATCAATCAACACTTCTCACCATAAAGTAACTTCCCAATATATATTCTGAAAACGATGTATTGCAGGGCAGAATATGTGTGAGAGTATGTCTCCGAGGTGACCATCACCCAATGGTCTTCGCCAGGAAGCGGTTTCTGTAGTGCAGTGAACAGCGGTCAACATGCAGATCTTCGTTCTTGTTACGATTACCAACATTTTAGTCGTTATCATTATAATCATCTTGAGCAATAGATTAGTGGTAAGTGTGGGCGTTTCACTACCACACGCCCATTAGAAAGAAACGCCCTTTTGCACAGAAGATAGCAATCAAGACATTGGAAGCATAATGTAAGTGAAGACACGTTTTATGGTAAAAGCTCTCAAGAACACGTGCCCGCAGCTGCGATCAGTAGTGAAGTTAGCATATCTGAGCATTACAT